TGCTCGTGTCTTTCATTGTTTGGTTGTAGTTTTTATCGAGGACTGCAGTTCTCCTCTTATGGAAAAGCATCGTGCTTTCATGGAAGCTCTACTATTGGAGCTAAAACTTTCATCAAAAAACCCTAAATTAGGGTATGGAATAAGGTAAGCATTGATTTTTATTATTGACTTAAGTTGACAATCTATTAAAATAGAAAGAAGAGGAAAGTGCAAAAATGGTCTTTTTGGGTACACATTTTTTTGGAAACAGGTCCAAACCTATAAAAATTGGATGAATGGTCCTGTTTCAGGAAGTTTTATTGTGAAATTAGTCCTCGTTAAACTTGAAAAAGACTAATTTACCCTTTTAATTTGTGTTTTTCTTTTTTCTTAAACATTTTTCTCTTTTATTTTATTATTTATAATACAACAAATATAGTGTAACACCCGGAATCTAGAAGGCCTATTAAGGAAAGAAAAACATTCAATTAAGAAAGGCAACTCGTCAAGTCGATGGGGAAGAACTCGACATGTTGGAAATCAAGGCCGCATGTTTTTGGAAAACCAATTCGACGAGTTGGAAGGGACCAACTCGACGAGTTGGATTGGGTTTGGGAAACCTAAAATCGGGACTTTGCACCCTATTTAAACAACTTAAGCTCTAGGGTTTGGCCTCATTTACAACCTCCATTGTCCCAAACCCTAGCCACGAAACCCTAATACACTTTTGTGAGTTTGTGAGCCATCCTTGAGAGAGTTTTGTGTGTTTAAAGCTTATGGAAGAAGAAGAAGCTTGAGGACTCAAGAAGGAGTTTGTAGATCCAGAAACTTCACCTTATCCTCGTCACTTTTTGGTAAGCAAGTCTCAAACTTGCGAAATGATTGCTTAGATCTCCTTCTTAACACTTTTATTGGGTTTTTGGTCCAAATATCTTGATCCTTGGGGAATGGACGTCCCAAGTGAATGCCCTTTCAGATCTAGAGCCTTCACATAAAGGTGCAAACTTTATGGCCATTGAAGCCCCAAGCAAGCTTTAGGATATCATTTTGGCCTTTTAAGCTCCAAAAAGGCCATGCATGGAGAGAAAGTCAGAGACTTTACGTGTTCATGTAGTGTCTAGGGTCTAGATCTCAGTTTGTATGCCTTAGCTTGAAGTATTAATGGCTTTTGGATCAAGATCTAAGTCTTAAAGAGTTAGGGTTTGAGCTAAATCCATTAAGGAAGGGTAATAACGGTTAAAGTTAGAAACTTTACCCTTAAAAGGACATTTTCGGTATATATATGAAGTATGGAGCTTGGATCTAAAGAATGGGGGCTTAATCTATTAAGAAAGCTTATCAGACGGAAGAACTCGACGAGTTGGGTCGGAGTGTCCCGATTATGTAAAAGAAGGACTCGACGAGTTCAAGGACGGACTCGACGAGCTGAATTGAGAAGTCCCGCTTCTATTGATAGGAGGAACTCGACGAGTTTGTGAAAGAACTCGACGAGTCGGATCGCGATTTCAGGGTTTTATGATTTATGGAACTCGGCAAGCTGATGAGCCAACTCTGCAAGTTGAGTCAACCCAGAATGTTGACTTTGACCAGGATGTTGACTTTGACTTGGACTTTGACCAGAGTTGACCCTTAAGGGGTTATGAGTATGAAAGGGAAATTAAAGGGAATATTCTATGTATAGGAGCTTGAGTTGGGTGGATTGTCGGAGCCGAGGATTTTTAGCTACTTTCCGATATTCGAGGTAAGTTACCTTCCAGTAGAAGTGGGTCGAAGGCACCAATGCCGGCCCACTAGTAGTTGGTTTTAGTTGAGATAATTGTCTTTGTGATAATTGTCTGGTATGCCACTATCTGTTATGATTTATGTGCTAGTATACTATAATATTATGTGATAGTGGTAGGAGGGGTGAAATAGTCTCCGTTTATCGGTTGAAAGAGGCCGAAGGGGTAGACCAGAACCCATATATGTCTAATAGTATGTTTTTGCTATGTTATTATGTGGTGGTGGTATGGGTGAAATAGTCCCTGTAACCGGGTGAAATAAACCGGAGGGTAGGTCGGGTACCTAGATATGCCGGACATGGGTAGGTCGGGCACCCATGTATGCCTGACAGGGGTAGGTCGGACACCCCGGTATGTCTGACATGGGTCGGTTGAGCACCCAGGTATGCTCAGCAGGGTAGGTCGGGCACCCAGATATGTCTGACAGTATGTTTATTGTATGGTATGTGGTATGATGGGGGAAGCCACTAAGCTTTGTGCTTACGGTTTTCAGTTTTGGTTTCAGGTACCTCTTCGAAAGGAAAGGAGCCGACAAGATTGCAACGCATCACAACATGATTTCCGCACATGAGATTCTCGAGAGTTATACTCTGATGTTGTTTTATCATGACATGATTTGACTATTGATATATTGGTTTTAGATATGAGTTGTTTCTATAATATTTTCAGACAAATGGTTTATAATTATTAAATTAAAAATGAAATTTTTAGTCTTGAATTTTAGGATGTTACATAAAGAGGGGCCCACCATCACCCCCACAAACCCAATCCCTGTTCATACATTCTTGCCCTCGTTTCCCACATCTTGCTTGCTATTTGGTATAGGCACTTGTTTAGTTATGTTTAAACTGTAGTTTTATTTCAAGAGTTGATGCAATTACATTACCTAGAGATGGAGACACTTGTTCTTCTATACACGTGGCATCTTCATCATCTTCTGAGTCAACATGGGAAGCTTTGATCCGAATGTGTTTAAAAGTGTTTATTACTTTATTCAGCCATCCAAAAGGCGGGTGACCACGGGTTAAGCATGGAAGGAATCTCCCAGATTATTATTGATGTACAACAAGAAGGTATGTTATTCGTTACTTATCTAGTTATCTGTCCTTTCTTTTTCTCTATATGAATCTTATAACATTTCCACAAATCTTATGGTTTGTAGGGGGGAAGATGGGAGAAGTTATTGTTGAGGTGCTTGAGGCATGTGGGAGCGTTTTAAAGGTGAATGCTTATGATTCTGCCCATGTTGTTGATTCTCTGTATCGATCAAAGTACCATTTGGCCTCCTCAATGGCATCCTACCAACACCAACACCAACATGATCCTCTTCATTTGAAAGAGCCCCAGATCTCCTCCATTAATGATGATTTACAGCAAGAAACTCATACAAGTATTCCTCCTGATGCGGAGGTGCACAAAGTCACCATTTTAAACCACCCAGAACCAGAAGAAGAAGACGAAGAAGTTGCTATTGCTTGAAATAAGGAATTTAAAGTTAAATTGAAATTTTAAATGTAGATACGAAAACCCATCATCTTGATAACTTGACAACTCAACACAATCTTAAGTGGATACCACAGAATTAGGGGAAATTACTAATCTAGCCATTTTTGTTAATTATTTATCAAAAAATAGCCAAAAAATCTCACATAGCCAAAAATAGCCCACAAAATCGTAGTCAACTTATGGTTGACTACTGTTTAAGCCCGAAAAATACTATTTCGTGGTAATGGGCTACTGTTTCACGGGCCCGTTTACTTTTTCATGGCCCATTAGCCCAAAGTATAAAATGAAAAAAATTTCAGTTTATGTCTTTTTTCCTATTGTTTTCTTAAGTTTGGCTACTTTTTTCTCTCAATGGAGCATCCGAAAAACAACCAGGTTTGTCTACTTTTCATCAAAATTTTACCGTATTTGTGATTAGGAGTAGGTTTTGTATATGTGGTTAAATTTTTTTTGAAAAAAATCGAAAAAAAAAATATATAAAACCGTAGGTTTCATACGAAACCTACGGTGTACAAGTGTCCAATGCACAGATTGTGCAATGTCGACTTGTACACCTACGGTTTCGTATGAAGCGTACGGAATTTATTTTTTTTTTAAATCGATTCAATAGCATCGGACTTTATTTATTTTGTATTCGTATATTTTTTTTTTAAAAACAAAAAAAAAAAAAAAAAAGGAAACCGTAGGTTTTTTGGAAACCTGCGGCGTACAAGCATTTACTGCACAGTTTGTGCAGTAAACACTTGTACATCGTAGGTTTCCCATAAAATACGTTTTTTTTTTTACAAAACAGTAGCTTTTTTGACAAAACAGTAGTTAAAGCCCCCAAAGTAGTAGATTTTAAAAAAAAAAAAAAAAGTATTTTTTTGACAAAACCGTAGCCTACGGTTAGGGAAACCGTAGGTTTCGAGATACCTACGGTTTTGTATGTTGAAAATGAAAAAAAAAAAATTATACAAAACACGAAACAGTAGACGAAACTCGAAACCTACGGTTTCGTGGGCTATATTTGGACATTTACTAATTTTTGGCTAAAAACTGCTAATGACTTTCTTAATTTGGCTAGATTAGTAATTACCCCATAGAATTACCCACACTAAATGTATTTAATATGCTTGTGAAATAGTTATACGTTATTTGGTAGATTCTTATCGAAATATATAGACTTCTTTATGATATTACGATTTTGAGATCTGCATTATATGTTGATGCAACAAGGGATTTGGTTTTATAATCTCAAATTGCGTTACTTAATCATTAGTGTTTATACAGATAGAGGTGGCTTTTGATTCGAATTGCATTTTGCTTGTGATAAGCAAAAGGAAAAATGTTAATGGTATGCACTTTGATACAAATGTCAAATTTTATAACAATATAGCAAAACATAATGCATGCACAGTGGCGAAGAACTGAAGAGGTCGAAGTTGAACAAAATATATTTTTATTAATAAATATTATAATATATTAAATATTGTCGTCTCTTGCGGTTTTTATGGTGCGGTTTGACAGTATTCAAACCGCACCCGAAAATTACCAATTAAGGTAGTTATTGGATTGGAATGCATAATTACCAATTTAACCTTAATGAGTCAAAAATCAACAAAAATGGCCCAACAATTTTCTTAATCTTAATTGTTGCCATTGGATTAGAAATCATCAACGATCAAGATTGGTTCTCACAATTCTCTAATCTCTACTTTTTTGATGTTCTCATTTGAACTCAACCCAAAAATCTCACCAATAATCACCACACGAGCAAATCCCGTTCTTGAAATGATGAAACCGATTTGTATCCCGAAGAATAATTTCCCGCTCAACAATCTTGGAAATAAGCTTAGCAGCAATATGACAATCCTCACAAACACGTAGATTTTTAGTAATCCGTATAGGCGTAAAAGCTTCAGTATTTATAATCACAAACACAATAGCAAGCTTCTCACTATGAACAGCAAGATGATTTCCTTTATCTTCATCTTCTATATCATGAAGTGCAGAATCCACCTCAGGCACATACCCAAAATCCCTCATCTTCCCCACAAGTACTTCCAACTCTTGATAAATCTGTTTAGATTGTGGATGAGATTGATCTCCAGCAAGAAACGAATGAACTTGATTATTAAGCTCAACATTACTAACACCAGGCTCTTTTTTCACTCCTTTTGATTTCATGATTGAACGAATAGTTGTCACATCTTTAAATCTACCTGCTTTTGCGTATATATTTGATAATAAAACATAATACCCTGCTTGTTCAGGGACCAATTCAAAGAGATGATCTGCTGCTACAAGACCAATTTCCATGTTGGAATGAACTTTACAAGCACTTAACAAAGCACCCCAGATTCTATCATTTGGTTTTGTTTTCATTTTCTTTATAAAATCATAAGCTTCATTGATTCTTCCTGATCTTCCTAGCAAATCAACCATGCACGCCAAGTGTTCGAGTCTTGGAATGATGTTATACTCTTCAGTCATCAATTTGAAGAAATGTTTTCCTTGGTTTAGTAATCCGGAATGGCTGCAGGCTGATAGAACTGGAACAAAGGAAATGGAATCAGGGGCGATTCCGGAATTTTGCATATTTGAAAAGACTGTGATAGCAGTTTCACCATCTCCAGTCATGCCATAAGCAGAGACCATGGAAGTCCAGGAGACGACATCTCTTGTTGGCATTTCATCGAACACCTTGCGTGCTTCGTTTAAAGATCCACATTTAGCATACATGTCAATCAAGGCGTTCTCTACTATTAGATTAGGAAGAAGCCTTTTTGTTTTTACATATGAATGAATCTTTCTTCCTAGTAATAAAGCTGAAAGATCTCCACAAGCGGGTAGGATACTAGCAACTGTGATTGAATCCGGGTCGATTCCGTAATTCTCCATTTGTTGATAAAGATTAACTGCATCTTTAGGCATCGAGTTATTGACATACACAGCTATCATGACATTCCATGAAATTAAACTCTCTCGAGCGTGATTCATGAACATTTCTTTCATAAACATCACGTTGGTAGATGAAGTAGAAGTTGTTAAAGCAGGGGAAAGGCTGGCCATGGTGCCTGCGTTAGGTTTTGAGGTAGAACATTGCATCATTGTCTTACAAATCTCCAATGCATCTTCAAACATCCGGTTTTGGGCGTAGGCAGCAACCATAGCATTCCAGGAGACGATATCTCTACTAGGCATTTCATCAAACACCTGGCGTCCTTCCAGTAACTGGTTACATTTTCCATACATTGTGATCAATCCATTCCCTACATAAAGATTTGAATGCAGACCCTTCTTGAGAACAGCAACATGGGTTTGTAATCCGACCCACAAATTCTCAGACACGGAACATGCTTTTAGAACTTGAGGAACTGTAAAATGATCAGGGTTAATGTTGAACTTGAACATGCTTCTGTACATACGAAGTGCTTTTTCGTAGAATTCATTGTTTACGTAGCTTCTAATCATCACATTGAAGAAGACTACATCTTTTTGAGGAAATTCGTCAAACAGTTGGCGGGTAACTGCGATTTGGCGACATTCAGAATAAGCTTTCATTAATTTCAGAGCAATATGCGATGCTGAGACGAGGTTTCCATCAATAATTAACCTACAATGTATCTTTTTCAATTGTTTGATATCTGGGCACTTGTCCAAGATTTTGATACACAAGTCTTCTGTGATTAACATGATTGTTAAGGCGAGATTTGAATGAATTTGAACTTATATTCATTTCGCCATGGTGTACCTGAGGGGCAATCAAAAAGAATGGGCGAAAATATCGAAGGTTTACTCGGTGTTCACTGTTCATTGTCGTGTTATAACACCCGAGGAAATAGACAAGTTATATCATCTTTAACTTTCCATTAACTTTCCATGTAATTATTTTTTCTTATTTTTTTCGATTTAATTTTTATTTTTTAAACAAAATTAATTAATTAATTAAAACATGTTATTTAAATAAAACTTATTTTTTAAATTAAACAAAACATTTAAAAAACATTATGAAAACATAACATTTAAAAAAAATTACATTTTGCCCCTAATTTTATCGTTTTCATTTCCATCATACATAAAATCAGGCAAATCCTTTCGAAGTTGTCTGTGTTTTCGTGCGTCTTGAATATCTACGACCCTATATAAATTGCATGTGTCTGGGCTCCGAAGCAGAATACTCCGCAATGTTTCGTTATTTATCTTCAACCACCATGTTATTCATTATGATACATGCATACATAATATCTTGTAGAACGTCTAACTGATATGGTTGTGCTACATGTTCAACTATGTGTCATTTCGACTTCAGAACTCCAAAAGCACGTTTCACATCCTTACGTGTTCCTTCTTGTTTTCTCTTGAAAAAAATTTCTCTTGGTGTTACTGGGTGTCGAAACGCCTTCACGAATGTGAAATATGTTGGATATATTTACATCCGTAAGGTAATACCCAAACTTATATTCATTTACATTCACTGTGAAATGAGTATCTGGTGCCTTTCCTGACAAAATATCGTCGAAAATTGGTGACTGATCAAGAACGTTCACGTCGTTATTCGAACCCGCAACCCCGAAAAAAGCATGTCAAATTCATAAATCTTGGGACGCAACAGCCTCCAATACCAACGAAGGTGTTCCATGTTGACCACTTGCGTACTGGCCTTTCCACGCCACGGGACAATTTCTCCAGTTCCAGTGTGTGCAATCAATGCTTCCTAGCATACCCGGAAAACCATGTCTTTCTTCGTGCGCCGCATATGGTTGTTGTATATCATTCAACAAAGGTTTGCGCAAATAAACGTCACCGAAGGTTTCAACAACACCTCTCGCCAATCTATACAAACTTTCTCTTGCAGTTCTCTCAGACATTCTCATATAGTCGTCAATCGAATCATGCGACTCTTCCATTACCATAAGTTTAATTGCAGCAACACATTTTTGCAACCCTATAAATCCTCGTTTACCTCTAGCGTCATATCTCATTTGGAAAAATTAATACCTAAACGTATATTTAATATATAAAAGCTATATTTGAAAGAAGCAATGTATTAAAATAATGTAAAAGCTATATTAAAAAAAAAAAAAAAAAAAAAAAAACAATATCTACTTTCCAACGCGTCGGCTATCCGAACAAATACATTTTTCCGCAAACAAAACCTTCTTTTGAAATCGTGTGGCTGGTAGACACAATCATCCGCAAAATAATCGTGAACTAAACGTATGTGCCCTTCTTCGCGATCTTTGTTTAACGTCGCACGTCTGGTTAATAAAGGAGCTGGATCTAGTTGTATTAGCACGTTCGTGCAATACTCGTACATCATAGTGACAAACATATCATCGTCGTCACTATCATCGAAGAGATTCATTTTTTTTTGTGGAATGTTTTGAAAGCATAGGTAAAGATTTTTTTTTGGAATGTTTTGAGAGAAAAGTGGTGATTTATATGAAATAGAGAGGAAAGTGGTGATTTTATAGGTAAAGAATTTTTTATTTTATTTAAACAATATTACCGTTTGTCAACGGTAAAATGAAGAAATTGAAAAAATCGAAACGCGTTATCATCCGTTGCCACCATAACGAAGCACCACATAACGGCTGGAGGGGGCGGTGTTCCCCCCGTGGTAACGCCGTTGAGGTGCTGCCATGTCAGCAATAGCGCCCCTCCACGGGCCCATAACGACTAGTCTTAGTTAGCGTTTCGTAGTGGGACAAGGTAGAACTGGACAACACAAAACTAGACCGGATATGTTGTTTGTCTAGCATTTGGTTAACGACAATTAATGGATACTCTACTATAAAAAGGTCAATCTTTTTGGGTAAACACACAAATACAAATCATATACAAAATTCACAAAGAAAACAAGTTTAAAGTTTTTTGTGTTGGTTTGAGGGCTTTGAACAATTTTTCGAACCATGTTATTATGTTGAAGTTTTTAATTTGTAAGTTTATTATATACTAATTCTTTTTTGTATTTTCTTGATTTAAGTATTCTTTTAAGAATATCATTGTATGTTGTGGTTGAAATTTTAATGTAAATTAGATTAGATTCATGTTATCGATCATATGTTATGGAAGATGATATATATAATATTTAATTAACTATTGTATACATGTTTGTATGTTCATGTTGCTTCAAAACAATAATTAATTAAAAATCATGGATATGTCATATTATCCATATTATCCATGCAAGCCTTTTTTTTAAATGCAAATTGTCTATCTTATCACTTTATATTTTAATATATGTTTAACATTTTAATTATAACAATAAGTGTTTTTTAAAAGTTTCTTTCACTTATTAATAATAACAAGTGGTTTTAAAATTAATAAGCAATAATTATAAATAATAAAATCAAATTACATGGATATGTCATATTATCCATGCAAGTCTCTTTTGAAATGCAAATTGTCTATCTTATCACTTTATTATTTTGTGTATGTTTCACATTTTAATAATAATATTAAGTGTTTCTTAAGAGTCTTCTTTAACTTATTATTAATAATGAGTGGTTTAAAACTAATGAATAACAATTTTAAATGATAATAACATCAAATTATAAATTACATTTAGCTATAAATAAATTGTATTTTAAATAAATATTATTATTGAAATTAGAAAATGATCGCATAAGTAAAAATATAATTAATCAATAATAATAATTGTTAAAAATAATACTAAATAGATAATTATATTTAATTCTATTAATGAGGAATGTGAGTTGATGTCAATAAATATTATTGTTCAAAATAATAGAGATTATATATATATATATATATATATATATATATATATATATATATATATATATATATACTAGGTTATAACTCGTGGGCACCACGGATGAAAAATTAAAAAATAATTTTAATTAAATTATAATTTAATTGTTGAGAATTGATAATAAAATATTTTAATTAATAAATGTATATGTTTTGTTAGTAATATGATAATGACATAATTATTGGTTGAAATTACGAAACGTCAGTGGTTTGACATTCTGTATTAATCGATATGCTACAAAATTATAATTTTAAAGAATGAATATAAATTTAAATACAACAAATACTGAAATTTATATAAATAATAAAATTGTACAAAGTGTTTATATAATTAAAGTGACTTATAAAATTGTTGATCATAATATATAAAATGATATCATTAAATTTTAAATGACACATAATTAAATAAATAAAACACATGTATTTTAAGTTATAGCTTATTATTTAATTTACACTTCATTTCATATCTTTAGGGAAATATATACATGCCCGTTAATTTAAATTATTGTATAAGACACAATGAACTTTTACGTGGCCATTGAATGTAAGGTGCAGATTAAATGTTTTTAGTTTTTTTTATATATTTTTTATTTTTTTTAGAGGGACCATAGATAGAAGTGGATTTTTTTTAAAGGGGCCATATATATAATTGTTTTATATAAGAGGGAGAAGTAATTGATAAGTGGATTTTTTCTTGATTGATTATTTTGACTGTTACTTGAATCTTTAGTTCCACAGTAGTGCTTTGTTTGAAGTCTTAGTTTAAGTGCATTATATTATCTTACAATTTTGGTGTAACATCCATAAAAATTGAGCCAAATTAAAACATTTTTATTTCATTCAAAAACCATTAAGTTCACACATCTTGTTTTCAAAATAGTTTAAACATCAGAGTATCCCCAGAACCATATCACATAAATCATAAAACATGAGGAGCGGTACGATCACGCCTTCGCCTTGCCACGATCTCCTGAAGTACCTGAAACAATACACTGAAACTGTAAGCCCGTAAGCTTAGTGAGTTACCCCCAAAATACCAACCACACATAAACATACTCATAACATATCACAAATAGAACAGCCATGCACATCGGGTCTACTGTGTGACTGGTCCGCCCGCACTGGGCCTTCAGTCCACCGGGTCCACCCTCCCAGTCCAGCCATGTACATCGAGTCTACAGTGTGATTGGTCCGCCCGCACCGGGCCTTCAATCCACATGGTCCACTCTCTGAGTCTACAGTATGACTGACTGGTCCGCCCACACCGGGCCTTCAGTCGGCCTGGTCCACTCTCCGAGCTTCGGCACGTCTGGTCCGCCCTCTTGGGGCCTTCAGCCTATCCGGACCGCTCACTGGGCCTTCGGAATATCCGGTCCGCCCTGGGTATGTTGGCCTACAGCACAAAGCAGGACCCGCCTCAACCCAACCCCCGTCAAACAACCATGTGCATAACAAATTAATTCATCACATAACAAATCCTTAACCAGACTATCAGTCTAACAGATCACATAGCATATCAACATCCTAACCAGGATTCCGACCTAACCGGTCACTAGCATAGCATTACCCTATATACCGGGTACCGACCTTAACCAGGTCACTAACATAACATCATCCTAAATACCAGGATGCAGATCTAGCAAAGCAATAACATAACAACAATACCCGAATTTCCATCCGATAAAGGGCCGGCCTTGGTGCCGTAGACCCTGTCGATATAGTGAGGATAACTCACCTGCAATTGCCGACTGGAAAGATAAGACCAACCTACTCCGACCACCGACACGATCTTCACCACAGAACACTACCAAAGAACCAATTCCATAAATACCCTTGAAGGTCAAAGTCAAAGTCCAGGCCAAAGTCAAACTTCCTGACTGACCCTACTCGTCGAGTCAACCCGTTGACTCGTCGAG